ATATATATATATATGGAAGGTAAAAGTATCTAGATAGAGATTGTTTTCGATTTTTTCGAAATGTATCTAGATAACAGATACAAGAAAACAGATACTTTTTGAAGCTTTGACGAATAAAATAACTGAAAACATGTTTATGTATTTTTTTATGTATTGTTTAATGATTTTTTTTAAATTAATAACATTTCGAATGTATTGTCACCTAGATTATTTCTTCTTGGTGTCAGAATTTGGTTTCCGCTACTAAACACCAATTCCGTAGGTGCAGAAGAAGGGATTGTGGTATTAAATATAAAAATAAACATTTTACTGTAGCATAGTTTTTCAAGACTGAAAAATCTTTTCTTTTATCCTGCAAATACTTAGGCTATCGCTTCGCTGTTTGATGTGTCGCAAATTGTCCAATATTTATTACGTACCTTTAAAAAGAATATATTTTTTGTTTTTATTCCCATACTACAATGTGCAAATTGTGTTTGAGTATATCTAATAATTATCTCCAGCATTAAAATTAATATTTCATAGGGGAAATGATTATTCTGTGCTAAAGGTCTATTGTCGGCAACCTGTCATAAATTATTATTCTTCAATATCGGCTTACGATGTTTTTATGACCATGCCCGGTAATCGTCTATCCCGGTGCGGCAGGTATATACATTTTAGGAAGAATTGTTGGTTCCGTTTTTTATTGTTAATGTTACCAAAAAAGTTATGAATAAAACTTATAAATAATTATATTATCTACAAAAATTCTCAAAAAATGTTCGGAGATAAATAAAAAATCCAATTGCACTTTTCTGTACCGGTTTTACAGTCTGTTAAGTGATTATGGAGTGTTACATTTACGATAAGAGGATTTATTCATTTTTCGGTAAATTTGTTTCTTACTGCCTTTTTTTTCCAGTTCAGGATCGTATTCCGTTATCAATTCGATTAAACAAATATTTAAAGAAAAGGTTACAAAATTTGATTAATTTCCATACCAGCAAATTTGGTAGAGGTATTATAGGTAGGTAGTTCGGGACTTAATACCGGCCTGTACAAACCTACCGCATCATAAATATCTTTATCATAATCACTCTGTGGGATTATCCTAATCACTCATTGTTAGGGTTGTTAATATTCTCGCCATGAGGTCCCATAAAACCGGTACAGAATTTGCAAGACTATACTTATTGAAAATATGGTTAATTCCATTGAACAGATTACAGAACAGTTTTACACGTGGGCAGTAGTCAGCGCTAGGAATCTAAATTATTTTGATTGCTACAATTAAGTTTGCACATGAATTGTGACAATAACTTAGTTCACAAACAAAGAAAATACCACGCGATGATAGCAGAAGCAATTCAAGTGGGAAACTGAACGTGATGCACACGTGCGTTTTAGTAAATAAAAATGTATGTCAAACGGTAAAAACAAAGAAACTAAAAAATGGGTAAGTACAGTGGAAGGTGAACGCTATTCTTTATATGTTACATCATCATCTTACAAGCCTTGTTAATTTATTCCTCAAAAGACTTACAAGAACAGATTTTCTAACAGTAGGGGAGGATGGGACAATACGGGGAAAACAAGGTTTGATATTAAATAATACATTTCAACAAAAAGAGGACTGGAGTTATTTCGTTCGGGAATATGTGATAACCGCCAACTAATGTCAGCAAACTGAAATCACCACAAACAATTAAGCCACTATAGGGGGTTGATAACGTCGAAAGTGCGTTTATTAGGATTTTATCATCTAACAATGAAGAGTTCGGAGAGCAACATATGCAACCAATATAAAAGGATGCTTCTTTAGACGCTACACAGACATTATGGGCAATTTCGCTAATTCTAAAATTTGGAAAATCGGTTCTGTTTAATAAAATACAAACGTCACCTCTACTTTTACGATCTGAACGATAAATATCGTATTGACTACGCTGGTGTTAACTGAGTTATCTAGCTAATAAGACTGATATTGCCTTCATGGGGCGGCTCATGAGTTGAGAAGTTGATGAGGCAAAGCACAAGATGCTCAACTTAGTTAATATCGAAAAAATCACATACATTCGCAAAATTTTTTGGCAAAAAATGTAATTTTAGAAACATTAAGCAAGCCATAAAACGTAAAATTTGTAGGTTTTCTATGCCAGAAAATTGTGAATATGTGAATTTTCGTTTGTTCAATTTTTCGACTTCACAGTTTTCCGGGTTTAGGTTCTCTAATTTTCAGTCTTTAATTTTTCAGTCCCCCCGATTTTTGATTTGCAATTTTTCAATTTTTATATTTAAATTTTTCTTAACTAATAATTTTCAAATGCTTTCACCGCGTTTATCTATATTTTGTCGAGTGAGCATTTTTTAAATATTTTTGAGTTTTTAAAAATTCTTTGTTTTCCGGTTTTGCAGTTTTACAATTTTTCGAATTTGTTTTAGGTTTTTCTGTTTATCAACTCTTGAATTTTTCAATTTTATAGTTACTCAGATTTTTAATTTTTTCAATTTAGAATTATCCAATTTTACAGTTTTTCGATTTTTCAATTTTTCGTTCCTTCGATTTTTTGATTTTTCAATTTGTAGATACATATTTTAATTTTCTTTTATTTGAATTAAACGATATAATTCAAATTTTCATGTCTTCAATTTTTTGAGGTGCAGTTTTTCCAGTTTTCAATTTTTGGTTTTTAAAAATTTTACCTTTTAAATTGAAGTTCTCGTTTTTGCGCTTTTATTATTTAATTTTGGACAAAAGCAACGAGTTTATTCAAACTGAAATTCTGAAAAATTGTAAAGCAGGATGTGTTTCTTCGAAAAATGGAAACATCCAAAATAAAAACTTAAAAAATTGGAAATCTAACAACTGAAAAAATAAAATATGGAAAAAATTGAGAAACCTGAAAATAATAATAGAAATATTGAAAAATTAAAAAAAAACTGGAAACTTAAAAAATTGCAAATCAAAAAATTGCGGAAACGAAACATTAAAAAAAAACTGAAAATTCCCAAAATTGAAACAGCAAAATTCTAAATTTGAAATTTCAAAAAAATTGCAGACGAGAAATTGAATTACTGAAAAATTAAAAATCGAGGAACGGAAAATTCGAAATACTGAAAAAACGAAAAAAGTAAAAATCCGAAAGTTGTAGGTACACTAAAAAATCAAAGCTAATCGAAAAATGAATTTATTGAAAAATTCGAAGAGTTACGAGGGTAGCGCCAAATATTCCCGGCCTGACATAGATCCAGGTACACACAAAAATGCAGCTTACGTCAAATAGTTTTTTAACAACACACATTTGTTCATCACGATGTCAGAAGTATCGGTAGAAGTATTGAGTATCGGACAGTTATAAAATTACTCACTCGAGAAGATATTTCCTCTCAAAACATTAAAGATCGGTTGGACGAGGTGTATGGCCAAAAATCCCCGACTTATTCTGCGATGAAGGAGTGGTCAAAACGGTTTCGAATGGGCTAGAAATCGTTGGAAGATGACGCTAGAACAGGAAGGCCGGTGGAAATGTTAACGGACAACAATATTGCCCTTGTTGAGGATCTTGTATTAGGTGATCGATGCTTGAAGGTGAAAGAAATAGCACAACAGTCGGGGCTTTCAGATACAACCGCTCGCCGAATCGTCCATGATCATTTAGGCATGAATAAAATTAGTGCAATGTGAGTTCCTAAATATCTCCCAGCAATTCAGCGCCAGCGTCGTATTGCATCTGATCGGTCTTCTTTGGAGCTCAGTGGAGAAAATCCTGTGGACGCGCCGAAGACAAATGTCATAGGGCATGAAACTATGGTTCTGTACTAAGACCCTCTGCGCAAAAGAGGGTCGGTGGAATGAAGATGAAAAGGAGAAGCACCGCCAAGAAAGTTCAGAGTCCGTCAGTGGACAAAAAAGGTGATGCCTACGATCTTTTGGGATTGTGAAGGCATTCTTCTTACAGACTTTAAAGAACGCAACACCACAGTTAATGCGACCTATTAAATACGTAGCACTTGTGCGTAAATTACCCCCAAATATTCGGGACTCCAGGCGTGGGAAACTCACCAGAAGGGTGCGTATGTTGCACAACAATGCATCCGTGCACCCTGCTGCAATTACGCAAGATGCAATTCGTGATTGAAGTTTTCAACAAATCGATCACCCTCCAAATAGCCAAGATATGGCCTCCAGTGACTATTACCTGTTTAAAAAATTGAAAAAATCCTTTGAGGATACCATTTCGGAGACGACGGAGAGGTGCATGAAGGCTGCAGTTTGGGCACATTTTGGGACCAAGTCGAGAGAATATTTTTTTAAATGTATTGAATTGTTGCTGAAACGATCTAATAAGTGCATTGATGCCAGGGAGGATTACATTAAAAAATAAAATTTAATTGTAAGTCTACGCCGTTTCTTTCATAGGCAAGCCGGGAATTTCTGGCGCTACCCTCGTACATTACATATTAAACGACATCAATTTTACGTACAATACAGAGGGAAGATTCGAGTTCGTCTCTGTGTGGCATGTTCAAAAGCAGTGTTAAATTATGGGAACAGCGAATTTTGGTTAATGACATACCCTCTAAAAAAACAAAGGGTGGGTGGGGGGCTAGTACTTGCTAAGATAAGATTGATTGTAGCAAATGACTTACCCTTTAAGAAAATAGAGGGCGGGTGGGTGGGGCTAATATTTGCTCAGAGAAGACCTTAGATCATATAATAATATGATATAAATTATATGATCTAAGGAGAAGACTAATTTTGGCAAATCACATACCTTGGAAGAAAATTAGGGCGGGTGGGTGGGGCTAGTACTTGCTAAGATAAAACTGAACACTATTAAGAATAGTCACTGGAATGAAGAAGGGGTGGGTGGGACGCACTATTGCTTGCTTAAAAGCAAGAGATAATTACTGGAGAAAATGGGAAGAAAGAAAAAGAGAAAAACGAGAAGAAGAATGGAGATATATAAACAAGGAACGGTGAAGGCAGACTGAAATCAGTAGGAAAATCAAAATACATGAATGGAAAAGACACTTTATGGAATTACTGGGAGGTTGTGCGCAACGACGGAAGAAATGTGGAGAGAACAGAAGATGAAATAAGAAGACAGATTGAAAGATTGAAAAGAGGAAAGGCACCAGGAGGCGATGGAATCCAGAACGAAGCGTGGATGTTCGGGACAACAGGAGTGAAAGAAAGGATATGGGAAGTGGTAGATGGAGTTTGGAAGTGGGAAGGATTTCCTTCGCAATGGAGAGAAGGTATAATAATGCCATTATTTAAAAAGGGGCAAAAAAGTGATGCGAAGAACTACCGTGGGATCACCTTGCCCAATACGACGTACAAGATATACGCAATGATACTAGATGAGAGATTACGAAAGGAGATGGAAGCAAGGGGTTTGTTACCAGACCTTCAGGCAGGGTGATAGGAAAGGAAGAGATACTATGGACAATGTGTACATCCTGCGGCATTTAGTGGGAAGAGAAATAAGGAAAGAGGGTGGGCGAATGTACGCATTGTTCATAGATTTCAAAGCAGCGTTTGATAGCGTGAATAATAATAATAATATGTATTTGCCCAACAGATACAAATCCATTAACAGGACAAAAATAAATACAATTCAGACTTTACAATTAAAACTAAAATAAAATAAAATATAAAGATAATGAGAACACTAATTATACTTGTATCTCCATCACTTCTTCTGAAAAAATATGTCCGCATAATGATCATTGGCATTTTTACACAATCGACAGAGTGGTGAATTTTTCAGAATATTAGTTCGCGAGGTTGGAAAACTAAATGTCACTGAATGACGAGCATTTCTTCTCGGTACATGGAAGTTAACTTCAGACAAAATATTGGGACAATCTACCTGATCATGGATTATTTTCCACATAAAGTGAGCACTCTGCAAATTTCTTCTTGATGTCAAGGACTGCATGTTGTGTTGATGAAGTAAAGTTTCATAATGAACATTCCTTGCTGGGTATACACCTGTAGTTTTAAGTGATAGAAATTTGAGAAAACGACGCTGGACACGTTCAATAATTAGTTGATAAGCAATGCGCGGAATTGTGTTTCATACGCTCGATCCAGTGCTGTCGCGGCGATAGTTTGATTACAAATATATTTTTCTTTTGGACTATATCAACATAATATAACATTTCAAGATCACAAATCTGTGGTCATGTGTTTGAAAAATTAAAAAGGGCATCGAGTATTTTTATTTGAAGTAATATAGTAATATAGAAGTAGTTTTTTAACAAGCTGTAAACACTCCAAGCGACGCACTGGCTACGACCTTGTGGACCAGATCAAAGCGTCCCCGCTACTCGCCGTAAAACACACCTTGCTTCAACTGGGGAATTGCATCCGTAAGATATTTTTCCGCCCAGTCTTGATAAGTAAGATAACACGGAGACCACACAATCGAGACATATTCTAGCTTACTACGGACAAAGGAAGAATATAGTGACTTAAGCAGGTCCGTATTTTTGAAATACGTGGCGGAACGCATTACAAATCCCAAACTTTTGGATGCAGATGAGGTTATAGCTATAATATGTTGGGAGAAACTGAGCCGATGATCAAATATAACCCCCAAATCTCTGATGGTATCAGTTTTGACTAAAAATTGACCATTTATGTAGTAAATAGAAGGTATAACGCTGTTATTACGACAAAAAGAAACATAGAAGCACTTGTTAGTGTTTAATTTTAAGTGATTATCAGAGCACCATTGTACAATAAGATTAATATTATTCTGGAGATGGTCAACATCATTAGCTGACGAGACAGGAGAAAAAAGTTTTACATCATCTGCAAAGCCAAGGATAGAGCAAGACGTGGACATTAAGAGATCATTAATGAATAACAGGAACAGCAGGGGTCCAAGATTGGAACCTTGTGGTACGCCAGAAGTGGACATGTAATCAAATGATTTATAACCATTGTAATAGACATAGTTGAGCCTGTTGATTAAATACGAACGTAACAATGCAAGGAATGATGAACCAACACCGAACATATCAAGCTTATTTAGCAAAATTGAGTGATCCACTGAATCAAAAGCACTTGAGAGATCGGTATACACCACGTCCACCTGGCCACGCTGATCCAAAACTTTACAAACAAATTGAGTGAAGACACTTAGATTAGTCTGTGCAGATCTTCCAGGAACAAACCCATGCTGATTCGTTGAGATTAAGGATGGAGCATTATTAAAGAGTGACAAGTAGATTATCTTCTGAAACACTTTCGCAAAATTACAAATAATAGCAATAGGCCTATAATTTTTTATTTGCTTCTTATCATTCTTTTTAAAAATAGGTGTTATTCTAGCTCGCTTCCATCGATCAGGAAATATTGACTTCGAAATGGCCATGTTAATGATGAACGTCAACGGTTTTGCCTCGTGCACCAAGAAGCTAGGAATTTGATCATCACCGGCTGTATGTTTACAAGAGAAAGTCGACATTATTTCTATCACCTTATCCTCCGAAACAAGTTGCAAATTAAAACATGGACCACTGAAAGAAGGCTAGAAAGAATAAAGAGAAAATGTGGGAATATTTGAGAAGATAGGGAGTAGATGCGTACCTGGTAACGAAAATGGAAGAAATATATAAAGAAAGAGTAAGTAAGGTGAGAGTGAATGGAATAGAGAGCGAGAGTTTTTACACAAATAGAGGATTGAGACAGGGATGCCCACTCAGCCCCGCATTGTTTGCACCTTATCTAGGAGATATAGATGAAATGTTCAGAAAAGCACAGACAGGAGGGGTGGTAGTGGGCAAAGAGAAAGTGTGGTCGTTGGCGTACGCAGACGATTTGGTGATTGTGGCAAAGAAAAGGAAAGAAATGAAAACAATGATTAGAAGTTTCGAGAAGTACGTACAGAAAAAGGAATTGGGAGTGAATGCGGAAAAAACAAAAATGGTGATGTTTGGGAAGAAAGTAAGAAAGGAGAAGAAATAGTGGGTATGGAGAGGGAAGAACATTGAACAGGTGAAAGAATTCCAGTAATTAGGATATACATTAAAGAGCAATAACTCAGATTGAGCGCATATTCAAGACACGGTCCGAAAATCGAACAAAGTGATAGGAATAGTATGGAGGATAGGCGACAGAAAATTTCGACATGATTATAAGAGAAGAATGATGATGTTTGGTAGTTTGATCAAAAGTGTATTTATGTACGGAGCTGAGATTTGGGGATGGAGGGAATATGAAAAAATAGAGAGAGTGCAAGAAAAATACTTAAAATGGACATTGGGATTGGAAAAGTATACGCCGGGGTATATAGTGAGAGAAGAAACAAAAAGAGAGAAAATGAGAGTGGAAGCGGGTAAAAGGGCGATTGGATTTGAAGAAAAGTTTAGTGAGAGAGGTGATTGCAAAATATTGCAAGAATGTTGGAAAGCAATAAGAAAGGAAGGGGGAAAACGAAAGAGACAAGTATTATGAAGGAAAGGGATATGCATGTGAAGAAATAGAGAGAATGAGAGAAATGGGAAGGAGTATGAAAGAAGAACTGAGTGTAAGAGATAAGGATATAGATAAGCAAGAACGCAGATCGAGAATATCGGAGTCTAGATATAATGCAGAGTATAGAAAAATAGTAAAGGATGAAGTACCAAAGTACACAGGGAGAGAATATAAAGGAGAAAAGAATGATGGCGAGATTTAGGTGTGGAAATGAAGAGAAAGAGAATAATTTTTGGATGGATGAAACTGACAGGTGTAGGATATGTTGGACAGAGGGAGAAACAATAGGGCATATGCTGGAAGCATGTGAAGGATTGAGAGAATCGGAGGAAAGCTAGGAAGAAGTGCTAAACGAGGATGGAAGAGGACTGGACTGAATGAAAGAAGTACGTAAGATAAGGGAACTATGGCAAGGGATGGGCAAGCAAAAAGAATAGAACTATTATTATATAAAACTCGAATATTTATTTTATTTTATTTATTTTTATTGATTTATCTGTATTATGTAAATTAAATTAATTTGTACCCCTACAGGGAATCTTATTAAGCCTGTATAAGACAAATAATAAATTAATACTACTAGAAATACCTGGGTACTATAGTATGATTTTTTTACTACAGTGCAGCAGTTTTACAGTACACAGTAGAAGAAATGCTGCCAATTACTACGTTGATTAACCAAGCTTCAGAAATATGTAACATGTCGTCTCTGACGGTGCGTTTAAACCTGTTTGCCGCCAAATTTTGTCAAAACAAATTTCAAATCACATGGAGAACTATAAGCGTAATCTAAAGAGTATTACAGAAAGTCAAGATTTTGTGTGCACCACTGCAGATATTTGGTCAAAAAACAATAAGAGCTTCTTTGGAGTTACGGCCCATGTTATTGATACCGGAGCTCTTAAAAGGGAATATTTTATTTTGGCTTGTAGGAGAATTAAATATTCACACACTCACGATCGAATTGGTAATATTGTGCACAACATACACCAAGAATTTATTAACGATATTAGTAAAAATTAGCAGTATTGTAAACTGATAATACCAAAACTTTTTGTAAAGCTTTTAAATTTTTTTCACACGAAAATACAAATGATAATGAGTTTAGCTCATATCAAACAGAAGTAGAAAACGAAGCAAAAAAAGATGACGTTCAGGTTCACAGTTATGCAACTGTCTCGTTACCAGTCTTTAAGATGAATTGGATTGATAAAAATCAAGAATCTGATAAATATTAGATCATCAAATATTTATTTTTAGAGGAATTGTACAAACAATATAATAATATTGAAGTTAAATGCGAAAATGATCCAAAATATCTATTATTTAAATGTGGATCATTTTTTGTCTTTGTGACGGCAAAAAATCTTGAAATATCTAACACCAATAGTTCTCAGAGAGAAGTATTAGAATATTTCCAATCATCTTACAAAGACGTTATGTTAAAAAAATTCCAAATATTTTAAAGATATTAAAGGAAATATAATGTGTTAGTACTTCCGTCATCAGCACCTGATGAGAGGATTTTTAGTTCCGTAGGCAAACTCCTGACGCCATCAAGGAATAAATTAGATGCCGAAAGTTTCGAGTCATTGTTATTTTTAAAACATTACAAAGAGTTGTAATTAATAGGGGAGTATAAGATATTTTAATATTACTGAAGTTATTTTAATTTTGTCAGCATAGATAATTTGTCATTGTGATAGATTCACAGATCATTGCGACATTATTTAAAAAGAAAATACCTAAAATGGCTTTACTGCAACAAAAATTGCAATAAAAAGATGTTTTTTGCAGTTTCGAAAAGACAGACCCGATCTTTCTTTCGAAAAACTAACGATGAGGGTCTCGAACATATTTTCTGTAATGTAAAAATACGCTGTAAAATATTTTTGTAATTTTTTTTCTCATAGGTGGGAACATCAAGTGTGGCGAAAATTTTATCAACAGGGGACCAAAATTTAAAAATATCACTATCTGGCAAGCGAAAACCGACGGATTTATTTACAAATTATATGTTTCGGAAAGACCTGCAACGACAAATTTGGCAACTTAATGAAAAAAACGAATATTTCACTGTAGATACTCTTTTGGCATATTCTAGGGAACAGTTGGAATTTAAAGGGAGGCGAACCACATTATACAAAATTCTTAAGTCAATTGGTTATAAATACAGGGAAGTAAATGGTTGCAAAATTCTATGTGAACAAAAACATGTCGTTGCAGCCAAAATTACTTTTTTCAGAACATAATTAAAGTTTCTAAATTCTTGTGAAAATTTGACTTTCGTGTATTTGGATGAAACATGGATCTATCAAAATGGTTCGTCCATTCGTCGCTGGGTGCACGATACTGATCTAAAAAGCAATCCCACCAAAATTAAAAGTGAAGGATCAAGGTTTACTATTCTCCACGCGGGTTGTTCAACGGGGTTCTTGGATGGTTGTTACAATTTTTTAAATTAAAAAAATAACGATGCAGACTAAGCATAAAACGATGGACGGGACAATTTTTCAAAATTGGGTGGTTAATCAGCTCATTCCTGCTTTGGCAAAGTTGAACCAAAAATGTGTGATGGTTTTAACACAGGCTTTGTTGTCTGCAGAGGTTTATGTAGGCATGTTTTTATTAGTGGGTTTAATTAAAAATTACGGCTGGTGCTGACCATAGACTGGGTTTTTATAGAAAAAGTTTAGCACGTCACAATAAAAAAAAAAAAATGGTCGAAAGTAGTTTCGACAGAAGATTTGAAGTATTGATTTTGTGTCCTCAACGGATAGGAAAAGACTGATTGATTAATTCGTACTCAATTTTTTCCCAAAAACACTCATAAATGTAAGATGACGGGTAAATTTTGACTAACGATTTACCACGTTTCCAATAATCTTAAAATATTTGCACAAGTTCACAGCATTCGGTTTTTGCAATTTCAATGTTACGTTGTAAAATATTCTTATACAATGTTGATTTTTTTTCCAAAATTCTGTATGCTAAGGGTAAAAACTCAACACGGATTCATAAATCACACATGTGGGAGTATATATGTATATGAACTTTTTAAAAAGTAACCCTAAAAATGGGGTGAAATGTTAAAAAAATGAATTAAAAAAACTTTTCGACAAAAATTGACTTTTTTTATTTTATAAAAAAAGCAATAAAAAACAAGTAAAAAAAGTTTAAATTGATGAAATAAATGAGGGGTGAAAATGGGATTTGAAATAATAAACAATGCTTTTGGAATTACCAAAAATTATTATATTTGGTAAAGATAAATTAAATCGGCAAAATTGTAAGTAAGGTCATTAAAACAAGTGGGATTATAAACTTGCTGTTCACGTTTGTGGTAGAAAAGTGGCGGTTGATTACTACGAAAATTTACCATTTTAGACATCTTTTAAGTTTGTTGGTGTCGAAATAAGTCTACACATATTAAGAAAAAAAGGCAAAGTGTAGCCCCGCCCACCCACCCAATCTCAATTCTGATGATTTTTCTTATTGGTTGTGAGCCAAAGGGGTGGAGCTTAACTGCAAATTCCTTATTTCTCTATGAGAAATTAAAACATGTTTTTGAGTTTCGTGTTGTTTAAAGAATACTATGAATAAAAATGTAAAAAATTGAAGCCAAAGCCTGATCTAAATATGTAGTAATGAAAGTTTCTTGTTGTGAAAAGATGGCTACGTATATTACGAAAAAAAGGCAAAATATAAGCCCCGCCTATCTACCCTGTCTCAATTCTGATCATTGTTTTCATTCGTCGTTAGCCAAGGGGGCGGAGCTTAACTGCAAAATTCTTATTTCTCCACGAGAAATTAAAAACATATTTTTGAGTATCGTGTTGTTCAAAGAATATTACGCATATTAAGAAAAAATTGTAGCCAAAGATTATAACACCTGCTCTGACTTATATGTAGTAATCAAATTTTCATTCGTTGCTAAACCTAGGGGAGGAGTCTAATTGCAAAATCCACATTTCTTTACAAAAATTTACCATTTTAAACGTGTTTTGAGTTTCTAATAATAAAAAAATCATCAAAATTAGGATAGGGTGGGTGGGTGGGGTTTATATTTTCCTGTTTTTCTTAATATACATAGTATTCTTTGAACAACACGATACTCAAAAACATGTTTTTAATTCCTTCTACAGAAATAAGTATTTAGCAGTTAACATTCGCCCCCCTGGTTCACGGCAAATAAAAAAAAAATCATCACTGTTGAGGTAGGGCGGGTGGGTGCTCTAACATTTTTTTTTGTTTTAATATGTGTAGATTTCTGAAACTTAAAACATGTTTAACAAGGTAAATTTGTAGAAGGGAATATCGATTTTGCAATTAGGCTCCCCCCTTAATTGAAAAATCCATATTTCTTTGGAAAAATGTACCATTTGAACCATGTTTTAAGTTTTTGTTGTGGAAAGATGGCTATGTATAATAAGAAAAAAAAAGGCAAAATATAAGCCCCACCCACCCACCCCGTCTCAATTCTGATGATTTTTTTATTCGTCGTAAGCCGAAGGGCGGAGCTTAATTGTAAAATCCTTATTTTTCTACGAGAAATGACCATGTGAAATATGTTCTCAAGTAATCGTGCTATACAAAGAAAATTAAAGGTATTAATTAAAAAAGAAAACCAAAAGAGAGGTCCCACCCATCCTTCTCGATCTCAATCGTGATGAATTTTTCATTCTTTGTTAGACCGAGAGGCGGAGCGTAATTTGCAAAAGCGATATTTCGCTGTACAAATTTACCATTTTAAACAAGTTTTAAGTCTCTTATTGGGAAAGTATGGCCACGTATTTTAAGAAAAAAAAAAAGGCAAAATATAAGCTCCGCCCACCCACCCGGTCTCAATTATGATGATTTTTTTTTATTCGTCATGAGCCAAGCTTAACTGCTTAAGAAAAAATTAAAGCCAAAGATTAAACCCCACCTATGTCTGCGCTGATCTAAATACGTACTAATCAAATTTTCATTCGCTGGTAGACCTAGGGGCCGAGCCTAATTGCAAAATCCACAATTTACCATTTTAATCGTGTTAAAGTTTCTAAAAAAAAATGATCACAATTGAGCTAGGGTGAGTAGGCGGGGTTTTATATTTTTCCTTTTTTTCTTAATATACATGTTTTTAATCTCTTGTAAAAAAAATATTTTGCAGTTAAGCTTCGCCTCCCTGGTTCAGGGCGAATAAAAAAATCATCACAATGGAGATAGGGTGGGTGGGCGAGCTTACATTCTCCTTTTTGATTTAATATATGTGTAGGCTTTTTTTCACAATATGAAACTTAAAACAAGTTTAAAATGGAAAATTTGTATAAGGAAATATCGATTTTGTAATTACCATTTTAAACATGTTTTCAATTTCTTGTTAGGGAGAAAAAACAATATATATTAAGAAAAAAAAAAGCAAAACTGCATATAGCACGATTACTTAAGAACATATTTCACGTGGTAATTTCTCGTAGAAAAATAAGGATTTTACAATTAAGCTCCGCCCTTCGGCTTACGGTGAATAAAAAAATCATCAGAATTGAGACGGGGTGGGTGGGCGGGGCTTATATTTTGCCTTTTTTTTTTTTTCTTATTATACATAGCCATCTTTACACAACAAAAAACTTATAAAACATGGTTCAGTTGGATAAACCACCCACTTTTTCTAGTAAAAAATGTGAAATGCAGGAATGGCTCTTTAAACATAGTGTTGAAGTTGACAAAAATTTTTCGAGAAAACAGTTGTGGGATTTAATTAAACCCTTCAGAAACAATAAAAAGAAGATATTTGGTAGACGAGACATTAAGAGAAAGTGATCATGAAGTTCTTAGATTACCTCCGTACCATTATCAATATAATCCAATTGAAATGGCGTGGAGATTTTGTAAGAACTATTACAACAAGCATACCAATTCTCAACCTTCATTAAAAAATAGGGTGGAGAATTTATGGCTTGAGGCGCTTTCTAAATATACTCCAAGCATGTGGCAAAATTTTTGTAAACATTATGAAAAATTTATTTTGGCAGATTGGGAAAAAAATATGGGAAATATTTCGTATGAATCTATACGTTCTTTCATTATTTAGGTGAATCTGATTCAGAATCAGAATTTGAAAATGACGGTGATGATACAGATTTTCATAGCGAAATAATGGAAATGGAGTGAATTGTAGCTTGTCGGGGGGTGATATTTTTACGCATCTTTCGTTCTAAATTTACCAAGGTAGTAAGTGAAAAACTACCTGACGTACAACAAAATAAGTATAATTTTAGTTAGATCATCCACGTTGTTACTTTGCATCAAATTTTAAGGATTTTCATTTTTTTTGTAACTCTTTTTTTGTTTAGTAACGTTCTTATTAATAAGCGTTTAGAAGTACTTAGTAAAAACAAATAAAGAGTACTTACGTAAGCATTAGTAATAGCTATATAGATAAATCATTCAATTTAAGGCCGAAAAAATGTTTCAGAAGAGCTAAACCCATCAAAGCACTAGAGCAAGGTTGTTGTCTTTTACCAACCCTTTTAGAAATCTTAGAAAAGTGAAAAAAGAAGTTGGAAGATATGAAAATAGGCTGGTCACAAAGGTCGAAATTTCCATTTTTAAGAAGAGTGGGCTGGTAGAACGAACTGATGATTGAGAATTAAAGATGAGATGCTAAATGTGGCATGCGACAATAGTCGTCTGCAGAACCCCCATTCATATAAAAACAATGTTTAAGTGAAATTTTAGTGTTTTAAATAGCGCAAAGTTTTATGCTTTCTAAGAAATGGATACCGTTAACTTGGCCATTGCTACTGAAAACTGAAAGTATCGGCAACAATGTTTATATTTCTGGCATATTTTTAACCTTTAATTCAATAAAACATAACCTAACGAAAAAAGTTCAGGGGATTTTTATTCTTCTGCATCGAATACCAACAAACTCACTAGATTTTCATGGCCAACCCTACTACATAAAGATCGTGAACGGATTATGACAGGTAGCCACTTGCAATATTAGTTCTACCACTTCATCGTTTTCTGCTTAAGAACAATTAATTTCACCTAATATTGGTTCTACACTTAAATAGAAAAAGCGTCATACAAGATTCTTCACACATAATTTTGTTACTAAAATATAGAACAACACGACAAATAGTCTAGGATTCTTCATAAATAATATAATAAATATAAAAAATTTTGCGGTTGTTAAAAATATGGCGTATAACTAAAAAAATTAAAAAGATAAATATAAAAATACAAATAAAATGAGGTACAGTGGAATCACTCAATTTCAAGTGGGAATTGTTCAATTTCTTCACACATTGAGTTAAAAGCTGCTGCCCACTGTTCAGCTTGTTCTTCCTGAAACAAAACATTTTTTTTCCCTTTACAATACCACCGATTTTACTTACTTCTTCCTTGCTTCTAACATCTTTCCGTTTCTTCTGATTTGGCAAATCCTTATTGTTACGTAATTTATTCACAATTCCAGTTTTAACTTGCTGTTGCTGCAATAAGAAAATATGAAATTCTAGTTTCACAGACAGGAAATCGCTGCTTAACTCGCATAATCTCTACGCCGAACTCGACCTGCACCCTTTATATTTAAATAAATAGTGAACAAAAACATACCTCAAACTGTTCTTGAGTATCATTGAAGTCTTCAAATAATTTAAGTTGTCCTTTGTCACTTTCAGTGTCACTGTCGTCACTAGCGCTACTCTCTTTATCACTTTCAATAGTGCTATTCCTTTTTTTAATATTGAATTTCTTTTTACGTTGATATTTTTTGTCATGTAAGTTTATAGATACTCTGAAGGGTTTATCATCTTTTTTTAAAATGGGTACGTTTTCTTCATCTTCCTCTTCAACAGAATCAAAACCAAAGTATGCGTCATCTTCATCAATCTTGCGAAAGTTTGTAGATTCTTCTAAACTTTGTACTGATCTTGGTTGCTCCATCAAATTTTCGTTTATTTCACCCAATATCCTGCGTTTCCCAGTATACTGTTTATGAGAAATTCTCTTGTCATTTTTAATAGGACTGAACTGATCATTATCAAACAGACTGACTTTTGTATTTTCCTCGTTTTCCTTGTTTTCATTGTTACATTTAAGATAATCATTAAGTGTGGTTTGCAATAGCGATTTAGTGTTATTTCTTCTGTTTTCTTGTACATTTTCTACTTCAATTTTTGAAGTGTCATTTAATTTATCAACAATGCTATGATCTAACACCATTTCTTGATTTAAATATGGCAACGACGAGGGTTTAATGGCAATAAAATGTGGATTGCGTTTAATATTGATGTCATTGAACCGCCATGGAGTCAGTACGTTATTCAACAAAGTGCTGTTAGCGTTTGGTTGGCCGTCCTTGAACAATTTTGGACTGGCTATACTTAAGTTTAATTCTTTTCTTGGCTTCAACTGAATATTACTAAGAATTTGAACTTTTGGAGATGCAGCACTTTCATTTGTATCTACTACAAAATATTCGTCCTCACTGTCACTGTCAATTGTTGCATTAGATAAATTTAACAAGTCCTTTTCTTGGGATAAATCTTCAACATTGAGAACCCCTTTTTTATTTTTGTTTGACAAATTAACGTTTATTTTTGGAGTCGATGTTAAATTTGTATTACTGACTTGTTGTTTATTTGCAAACTTAATTGCAAAATTTTTGGGACTTGTTAATTTCGTTAAAGTCCCTTTTGTCTTTTCTTGATTAACAACCCTATCAGTTTTAGACTTTAACTGATTATTGTTACTAATTGTGCGATTATTGTGTAACTTTTGTTTTGTCGCTTTTTTCTTTTTATTTGCGTCCGAAAAAATAACTTTCTTTTTCTTTTTCATACTTTTTTCAGCAATATTTTTAAGAATTTCTTGGAATGTTTTATTAAACGGATCTGAGCTTGAATCATCCAATTTTCGTCTTTTCCCTTTTTTGTGTTTTTCAGTGTCTGAGTCAAACTCATACTGATCACCTTTTCTTTTGGTGGGGTTTTTATCGTCAACGTTTTGTTTATAAATGGGTACTTTTACATTTACTTTTTTGTCACATGTTGTTGCTTCTAAACTGCTGTCAGCATACTCAATTGGTTTTCTTGATCTTAGTTTTCTTGATGGCACGGAGGTTTGAGGATGTGTTTTTGGCGACGTTTTCGCATTATTGGAAGGTTTTAAATTTTTTGTAACTGTTTTGTGTCCATTTTTGATCTGTTTTTCACCATTTGCATGAATATGTTTAAAATCTTCCATTGTAACTTGTTTTAATATTACCGTACATCCTTTCAGTTTCTTGTCGGTCAAAGATTTAATTCCAGTCTTCTTTGATTTTGTTTTAGATTCAACTGTGTTTAAACTACTGCCAGTTTGTGCCAACGGTTTTCTGGATGTAATTTTTTTTCTTGAAATAGAATCTTGGCTAACGTTTGCAGGCGCTTTAGAAACTTTTGTAACTGTTACCGGCTTACTTCGCCCAATTTTATTCTCTTTTCCTCTAGTTACTTGGGCAGAACTTTTTGTTTGACCATTTTGTTTTCGTCCTCCAGATTTAATTATCTTGTTATTTTTGACTCCTTCAAGTACTTTTTTGTTTTTTTCATTGATGATGATAGTTTCAGCGTGGCTTTTCTTCTTTTCTTCATTGGGAGCAGCTTTTAGTGAGTTCCTCGGGACAGCGTTTTTCCTATTTGACAAGCGATGAGAACTTTCCTTACTTCGGTTGTTATCGTTGTCACAACAACTGCATCGGGTTGTTTTGGTCTTTCTATTAGCACTTCTTAATGTACGGGGCATTTATAAATCATGAAAGTGAACTGTTAACTTGGTAATTAAAAACAAATCTGCGTAACGAACTGTTAACTGTCAACAAACACAAACAAGCGTCAACTTGCAGATTTGACAACTTAAATCTGGGGATTTTATTTTTTACACCAAGATTAAGTGTCAACGGGGAGATCATGAGAAAGGAGTGCGTTCGGATGCGGCGACCGAGGAGAAATTCGCGGAGTGGCTGACACCTAGCGGTCCTTTTGCCCACTACAGGAAGGGGGAATACAAATTTACATGATGTAAAATTGTGACGTTTAATAAGTACTGGGAAGTTTTGTGTGACATTAAAGATGAGAGCAATACAAAAGACAATATTTTGAGAAAAAAATGGTCCATTGCTATGAAAATTGGAAAACCGATGTCAGCATATTACGTCATCATCCACATTCCAGTCTACGTCAAAATGACAAATATGGCAAATTTGAGGTTATAAGTACGTAAAGCTTGTTTTAGAGCTTGTCACTAGAATGACAGAACTGCCTAAGATTTTATGGCCGAAACTGTACTGGAAGAAATACCGAGTTTACTGTTATCTACTGTATCTGTTGTTTATTTAACAGTTACTAGGAAATTTCTATGGAATGAGAAGTCAATGAAAAATAATAAATACTTTAAAAAATCGAAAAACGAAACAATTTTGCAATTTTTCAATTTTAATCAAAATGAAATTTTGCAAAATCGAATAATTAAAAAATGACAACAATTAAAAATCGAGAAATTGAAAAATCGATAAAACGAAACAATTCTGCAATTTTTTTATATACAATTTTTCAAATTCTCGATTTTTCATTTTTTAATTGTTCAACAAAAGAGACAAATTTATTCAAACCGAAATTTTGAAAAATTAAAAAATTTAAAAATCAGAAAATTGTAACAATGAAACGTCTAAAAATTATAAAATTGAGAAGTTGAAGAATTGAAAAAATAAAGAAAAATTGAAAAAACCGAAAAAATGAGAATCAAAAATTGAAAAAAATAAGAAATTAAACAAGTGGATAATTGAAAAAACAATTGAAAAATCGAAAAATTGTAATATAGAAATCTGAAAACCCTGATTCATGAAAAATCGAGAAATTGAAAAATTGAAAAAACGAAAAACAAAAATTTCTATAAATTTAATAATTAAAAATACAAAAGTTTTTAAATCGCAAAATTCAAAAATTTTAAAATGAAACTTGAAATATCAAAAATTGAAAAATCGAAAAATTCAGAAATTGAATTGGATAATTCGATATAAAGTTTTTCAAATTCTCGACGTTTTTTTCTTCATTTTCTCGATTTGACATTTTTTAATTGTCCAACAAAAGGACAAATTTGTTCAAACCGAAACTTCGAGTTGAATTGAAAAATCAGAAAATTGAGAATTTGAAGAATTGAAAAAATAAAGAAAACTTGAAACAACCGAAAAAATGAGACTTAAAAACTGAAAAATGAAACTTGAAATTTCTAAAAATTTAAAAATTGAAAAATCGAAAAATGATAAAGTTGAGAAATTGAACAATGGGAAAATTGCAATATTGAACCCTGAAAACCCTGATTAATTAAAAATCGAGAAAGTGAAAAATTGAAAACACGAAAAACAAAAACTTCTATAAATTAAATAATCAAAAATACAAAAATTTTAATTTCAAAAACCGAAGATTTTAAAATGAAACTTGAAATATCGAAAAATTGAAAAATCGAAAAATTAAAAAATGAAGAAATTGAATTGGATAATTGAAAAATTGTAATATTGAACCCTGAAAACCCTGATTAATTAAAAATCGAGAAACTGAAAAATCGAAACGAAGCAATTCTGCATTTTTTCGATATAAAATTTTTCAAATATGTATTCGATTTTTAATTTTTCATTTTCTCGATTTTTCATTTTTTAATTATTCAACAAAAGGACAAATTTATTCAAACTGAACTTTTGAAAAACCGGAAAATTGTAACACGAGAACATCAAAAAACAAAACAATTAAGAATCGAGAAATTGAAAAAATCAACAAAAAGAAGCAATTTTGCAGTTTTTCGATGTAAAATTTTCCAAATGCTCAATTTTTAATTCTTTATTTTCTCGATTTTTCATTTTTTAATTGTTCAACAAAAGGACAAATTTATTCAAACCGAAATTTTGAAAAATTTAAAAATCAGAAAATTGTAACATTGAAACGTCTAAAAATTATAAAATTGGAAAATCAAAAAATTTAAACATTGAGAAGTCGAAGAATTGAAAAAATAAAGAAAAATTGAAAAAACCGAAAAAATGAGAATCAAAAATTGAAAAATGAACTTTGATTTGTTTCCCATTTCTCGATTTTTCAGTTTTCCAATTCTTCAATTGTTCAATTTTTCGATTTTTCAGTTTTTGGATTTTAAATGTTTCGATTTTTTTACCTTTCTATTTTTCGACTTTTCGTTTTCCGGATTTTTTCAGTTATTCGATGTTTCAGTTTTGGGATTTTTTGATTTTTCGACTTTTCGAATTCTCGATTTTTCAATTTTTTTATTTTTTCATAATTCGATTTCCCAATATTTTGATTTTTCGATGTTTCTGTTTTTCAATTTTTTGAATTTTTAAATTTTTGATTATGCAGATTTCTTGGATATTATAAATTTTAGATTTTTCGATTTCTCCATGTTTTAGTTTTTAAATGATTTGATTTTTCGGCTTTCGATTTTTGGATTTTCCAATTTTTCGGCATTCCAGGTTTAGGATTTTTCAATTTTTCGGTTCTTCAGGTTTCGATTTTTCAATTTGGATTTTATAAATTTTGGATTTTTCGATTTCTCAATGTCTCGTTCATTTAATTTTTCAGTTTGTCAATTTTTCTATTTTTCGATTTTTCAAATTTTTTTATCTTTTAATTTCTCGATTTACCGGATTTCAATATTACGATTTTTGAATTTTTTAATTCTTTAATTTTTCGATTTTTAAATTTTTCAATTTTTCAAGTTTTCACTCGGCGTTTCCAAAGTTTCGATTTTTCGATGTTTGGATTTCTGGAGTTTTCGGTTTTTCAATTTTTCAACTATTCAATTTTTCCTGTTCTTGATTTTTTGACTTTTCTATTTTTCGACTTTTCGATTTCTCTATATTTTAGTTATTCGATGTTTCAGTTTTGTGATTTTTTTATTATTTTTTAACTTTTCGTTTTCTGGGTCTTTCTGTTTTAGAATTTTTGGAATTTTTAAATTTTCGATTTTTAGATTTCTCGATTTTTAATTTTGTTATTTTAAATTTTTAAAATTTTTCGATTTTTTGATGTTTCAATTCTTCGATTATTGAGATTTTCGATATTTAAAATTTTTGATTTCTCGATTGTTCTCGACTTCTCGGTTTTAGATTTTTCAGTTTTTCAAATTTTCGATTATTGAAATTTTGGATTTTTCGATTTTTTGATGTTTCGATTTATCAATTTTTTTACTTATCGATTTCTCGATTTATCGATCTATTCACGTTTTGATTTCTCTGTTAGGATTTTTGAATTTATATATATGTATATCGAAAAATTTTAAAATTGAAAAATCGAAAAATGAAAAAAATAAGAAATTAAACAACTAAACAAGTGGATAATTGAAAAAACAATTGATAAATCGAAAAATTATAATATAGAAACCTGAAAATCTGAAAAATTGAAAAACGAAGAACAAAAATTTCTATAAATTAAATAATCAAAAATACAAAAAAATTTTAATTTCAAAATTCAAAAATTTTAAAATGAAACTTAAAATATCAAAAATTGAAAAAACGAAATAATGAAAAAATTGAGAAATTGAATTGGATAATTGAAAAATCGAAAAATTGTAATATTGAAACCTGAAAACCCTGATTAATTAAAAATCGAGAAAGTGAAAAATTGCAAAAACCAAAAAAAAAACTTCCATAAATTAAATAATCAAAAATACAAAACTTCTTTTTTTAAAATGAAAACAGGAAATCTAAAAAAAATAAGAAATTGTAAAAAAGAAACATGGAAAAATTGAAAAATTGTAACATCGAAAAGATGAAACACTGAAAAACCGAAAAATTTAAAAACCGAGAAATCCAAGAATTGAAAAAATACAGAAACTGAAAAATCGGATAATTGAAAAGCCAAGAATTGTACACTTGAAAAAATCCTAATAATAATTATTTGAAAAAGTGAAAAATTAAAAATCGGAAAATTTAAAAATAACATTGTAAATCTGAAAAAAAATGAAAACGTAAAATCGAAAATTTGTAACATTAAAACCTGAAAAAATGATAAATTAAAAATTGAGAAATTGAATAATCGGAAAAACGAAAAATTAAAAACAACTTGGAAAATCGAAAAGTTAAAATATCTGCAAATTAAAAAATCGAAAAATACAAAAATTTTACTGAAAAATAAAATTCATTTCAGGTTTTAATTTCTTAATTTTTCAATTTTTCAGTGTTACAATTTTCCGATTTTTAAATACATATTTCGCTTTTTCCATTTTTGACTTTTATAAACTCTTTATTTGTCGATTTTTCAATTAATTAATTTTCAAATTGAAAAATCAAAAAATTTAAAAATTGAGAAGTCGAAGAATTGAAAAAATAAAGAAAAATTGAAAACACCGAAAAAATGAGAATCAAAAATTGAAAAATGAACTTTGATTTTTTCCCATTTCTCGATTTTTCAGTTTTCCAATTCTTCAATTTTTCGATTTTTCAGTTTTTTTATTTTTTAATGTTTCAATTTTTTGATTATTCAGATTTCTCGGATATTATAAATTTTAGATTTTTTGATTTCTCGATTTATCGATCTATTCACGTTTCGATTTCTCCATGTTTTAGTTTTTAAATCATTGGATTTTTCGGCTTTTCAATTTTTGGATTTTGCAATTTTTCGGCATTCCAGGTTTAGGATTTGTCAATTTATATATTTTTCAATTTTTCGATTCTTCAGGTTTCGATTTTTCAATTTGGATTTTATAAATTTTAGATTTTTCGATTTCTCGATTTCTCGTTTATTTGATTTTTCAGTTTGTCAAGTTTTCATTCGGCGTTTCCAAAGTTTCGATTTTTCGATGTTTGGATTTCTGGAATTTTCGGGTTTTAGATTTTT